CATTTACATCATAATAGGAAATGAGCCGCGTCACGACAAAACCAACATATGGGTTTGCGTCCAGCATGGATCCAGACCAACCTGCGCATCCGCGCAGTCTGATCAGGATCTATGCTGTTCGCTATCAGTTTCTTTACTTGTTATAGGGTCTGTTAGCGAACAGCATGGATCCTGATCAGACTGCGCAGATGCACAGGCTGGTTTGGATCCATGCTGGTCGCAAACCCATTATGTTGGTTTTGTCATGACGCGGCTCAAATGAATTCCACAAAACTTTGCCTTTCATTCCTATCCCTTCTTAACTTATGCTGTAACAAGAAGCAAAGTAGCTCTGTTTTGGAACAAATATATATAAAGTAGATCATTTACATAATTAATGACTTAACTAATTAATTATCTAAAAACAAAATAAGCAGAAAGAAAAATAATAATACAAAATTTGTATGTGAACATAATGCACAAAAATAAACAAGGACGGAATTAAACAAATTAAACAAAACATTTCTCATCTATATATGATCTAACAACAAATTCACAAATAAATAAACTAACATTTACACTTGAGCTAAAATGAACATACACTGAGGTTATCTAGTTCACTGTTTGAATTACATCTCATTTCAAAGACAAATTGCAAGTACCAGTAGCTTAATCAAAAGTTGAATTTAAATTAAAATTATGTTGTTTTCTTTTTACTTCAAAAGGTAATTTTAACGTTTCATACTTACATTGTGACCAATTTTTTTTATCTAAGCATTCTTAAAATATGAATCGAAACAAAAAGCTGTATTTTTAAAAACCTAAGTGAGAAATATAAAGAAACAAGACTAGAAAAAATGACAATGCAAATGAACACTCTAAAATCTAAACAAGAATTTGCAACAAAATCAAAAATATACCTTTGCTGACTAACTTGAATTTTTTTATCTTTTTATCCCCAAAATTGATCATATGTCGATTCAATACTGTAACATGGACAAGTCCATGTAAGAAATTCAGCAAGTTGAGGGCTAGCTCCCTTTCAGGTATCAAACCCACCACAATGATATGGCAAGTGATTAAAATACAACCACTTATACCACTTGGACAAAACCACCAATCAAATATTATTTTCAGTTTCTAAACATAAATACAATGAATTTACACAATTTAAGTGATAAGGCATGAAGAAACCATACATATAAACAAATACTAATCTACATTTAAAAAAATCCAAACATTAAGTAACAAGAAAATATGACTTTATTTTTTCATCATTGAATTGAATGCAAATCACTTTACAATACATAAGGTATAACCTAGAACAACAAAAAATTGTGACAAATTTAAGTAAATAAATATTGATATGATAAGAATATGTACACTATAAATGTCATGTTAATAAATCCATATATAAATATCACAGTCAATTACAGGTAAATGATTTGACAGCACTAAATGTACCGTAAACAATTTCCATTTCACAAGTCAATTTTATGTGTCACAACACAATCTTAAGTATAAATCTATTTTTAGTCTACAAGTTGAGAAAAAAAATTGATATTTGCATTGTCAAATGCAACGTCTGACATCCTTTGTTGTTTTCATTTTGGTTGGGTTTATTCTTGTACCAACACAGTATAGGTCATCAACACAGTATAGGCCATATGGCAACCTTCCAGTTTTACTGATGAAGATGACCTCAGGTGCCCCTCTGTATATTGTTTCAGGCAAAAAGGGGCACCTGGGTAGGACCACTAAAGTTCAGTAACCTAGCATGATAGCTTTCTCAAATGTAGAATCCAAAGATGCTATAGCAAGTGGTTCAAACTTATAGCCGTGAGGGAGACCAGGATCTTAACTACAGACACCTCTCCGACATCCTTTGCACCCTAGAATTTTTTTTTCTAAAACTTCACTTCGTGTATACTCAGGAATTATAAATACCCCTTATCCAAAGTTTAGATCTTTCAGCACCATATATAAAATTCAGATCAACATTCAAGAGACATGTCATTTAAACTATTGGTTTGACAGCACTGTTTTCAAACTGAATATATGAACGCAGTCTTTTTAAAAACAGCAAAATAAGCATTACAGAGGTAGAGTAACCAAGTACCCTTACCATTTTACTTTCCATGAAAACAGTTATCTGTACATGACAAAGGAATATTAACATGAGAGTGAATATTAAGAATTTACAATATCATTGATTTTTTAATTGGCACAACCATTGTTAATGAAATAAGACCACCTACGAGACACATCTTCTCTCTAAATATCAATTTTCTTCATTGCAAATCATAATAATCAAATCATAATAATCAGATCTGCAGCATTTTATAATAACAAATATTTTGTCTGATCATGTTTACCAGTTCTTAAAATTTGCTCAACATTTTTTTTTAAATAACTTAAAGATATTGATATCTGAATTGAATTAATAATAAAATAACAAAACTGAAAAAATTTGTTGACCATGTCAAATAAAAAAATTTTTGTTTTTTTTAAGAGCCCATTTTGTTTTGGTTTGTTACATTAAAATTAAATTTTTTCTTTGTGAATAATATTTTGGAGTTCAATAGTTCATTCTGGTCACAAAAAATATCAAAATAACAAAAAATACTCTTTAGATACCAGGTATTCATAATGCCTCCTTGTTCAGATCTAAGTAAAAAAAACTAAATAAAAGACAGGAGTATACCAGTCTGCAGATAGCACTCTGTCATTGGTCACTTTAAATTGAACATCTTAAATCAACCAATCAAATGTTTGAGTTTGAAGACTGGTTATTTTTTTCCATTTATTTTTTGTTCAGCATTTGTGGTTTAAAAAGATGAAATGATGGTTACAGTATTATAATCAGCAGATATGAACAACAAATTTAATCACAAATCTAACTTTGCTGTAGAGTTAATTCACTCAGTTTCATTTCCAATTAATCTCTCTATACAAAAATTATGGTCTTTAAATAAAGTATCAAATCCTTCAGTATAACTTATATTTAACCATGCCTACACCATTATTCTTTATTACCAAATATCAAAATTATTTCACTGCATTTTTTAACATTTAATTGCTATCTTAACACAAATTGTCATTTTTTGTTTCCTTCCCACTTCACGACAGTATCACATTTTCTTACTGTTTGACAAGACCTCTAGCTTTAGGGAAGACCTGTGATGAATCCACGTTATTTTTCATTGCAGATTTAGGTCGAGATTTACTTGCTTTGTCTCTCTTTGACTTACTACTGCTGAAAATTGCCGGGCTAAAATAGAAAAAAAATACAAATTCATTTAAAATCGCCAGACACTTCATATATAAATTTCTTCATCTTAACTTTAATGTACAGAACAACTTCAACAAAGCAGCCCTCTGTTGGGCCATAACCTCTTTAAAACAACAATATCAATTTTCCAATAATATGTCTTCACAATCCTCATCAGAGCAAAAACCCTTAACAACAACCAATAACTTTGTCTCCCAAAGGATGTTACTCTGCCAATGTTGTACTGTATTTTATGACTGATTAACATATAATATGTAAATGTAAGTTGCCCTCAAATCAGTATTTCAATAGCATTAGTAAGTTGATTTTAACAAAAATAGTCTGGATTCTGTACCAGACTGGATTCTGTACCAAACTGGATTCTGTACCAAACTGGGTTCTATACCAGACTGGGTTATGTACCAGACTGGATTTTGTACCAGACTGGGTTCTGTACCAGACTGGATTTTGTACCAAACTGGATTCTGTACCAAACTGGGTTCTATACCAGACTGGGTTATGTACCAGACTGGGTTTTGTACCAGACTGGGTTCTGTACCAGACTGGATTTTGTACCAGACTGGGTTCTGTACCAGACTGGATTCTGTACCAGACTGGATTCTGTACCAGACTGGTTCTGTACAAAACTGGATTCTGCCAGATTATCCTGCATTCCAAAGGCATCTCTTAACATAATGTGACTTATAGGTAAAGAACAATTACTTAAGAGATCACTCAATAGAAGAGGACATGATTTCCTCATTATTCAAACTGAAAAAAGGTCCCAACACAAACAATCTACCTATTCTACATAGTTAGATTTTTAAAAATGTGTCTACAATTAAAAATTGAGCCTCCCCTTCCGTCTGGGGTCAATATCAGTTTATCTTGAAAGAGCGTCCAGCGCAGCCTGTTTTGGGGCGCACCGGGGCCCATCATGGGTCTGGGGTTGTTCGGTTTTGGCAATCAAGTCTCCCATCAAATTTTTCTCCCCCTTACAAACCCTTTAATTTTATTTTTAAACTCATTCTAGTTAATCTCATACAAATCAACAATCCATCAAACGAAATATAATCTGTGCTAATGCAAAACAACCCACAAGACCCCTCCACCCCCAAAAAACTTTTCTGAGTGACCCATCATTTCAGGCACCATCAACCTTTATTTCACTTCAGGCACTAATAACCTTGATTTACACCATGATACTTCCAAACAAGAGCTGTTAGTAGGACTGAGTGCTCAACTTTTCTCAGTGATTGATAGTAAAACAAAAGCCTGTCAATGTAAAATTTCCTTCTTTCAAAAATGGCCCATAATTCCATGAAAACCCACTTTAGAGTTTTTGCCCTTGAACAATGGTCTCGCATAATACTCTGAAATATGTGTGTGAAGGTTCAACCCAGTCAATTCAGTAGGTTTGGAGATACCTGCTTGCATGCAAAAACTTAACCAAAGTGTAACTGTGTTGTCGAAGCCGACACCAACGTAAGTAGTCAATGGCTATCCTTATTCTACAAATAGTCAAGCTAAGAAATATCATCAATTTGATACAGTCATCCTACTGTTATGTAAATGGTAATTGACATTTTTATGACTACCAAGCCAAAAAATTATACATCATTTTCCATCAATTCATGCATTATATTCCTCGTCCAATCTTAGAACTTTAAAATTGTTACAAGAAAAGGTGTTTTAATACCAAAATGCTTATACAGCCAACAGTAAAGAGTATGTTAAGACTGCACACATATACAGATGGACACTTTTATCAAATGTTATTCCATCTTGCACTACATGTAAAATACTTTACCTTAAATCTTGGATTTCCTCCCATGGCAGCTGCCATCTTGGCATACTCTGACACAGGTCTTCTATTACCACAAGCTGATTTGGGCCTCTTAGCCATGGTTTGTGAGCTATAAAATAATCACATCAAACATTCATATTGAACCAATCATCTTAACTGACTAAAATGAATGTACAAACTTTGGATGACAAGTAAGAAATTACAAGTCTTGTTAAGAACCAATCTTTCTTATTTCAGTAAGCTAAGTATTCTTTTTTTAACTTAATAACATTGATACATACTTGCAAATTCAGAAATTAATAAGCTCAGATGGAGGCTTTCAAAAGGACACCAACTTATCACAGCATAACTTAAATGTTTTATTTAACACAATGAGTGTCTTTAGCAACCTAACTTGTGTTGACCAGTATTCTTTACAGATTTTTCCGAACCCGAATTTGCTCTTAATCTTAAGTACACATACAAAATGTATAATCATACAAGAGTTCTCAGTTAAAAAATAAACTGATTTATTAGGTATTTGCAAATAATAACTTGTTAAAACTAAACTATTTTACAGATTATCAAAGAAAACATTTCTAAACTAGTTATCATTAAAACAGTGCTACATGTATATTCCATGCTAACCATATATAATTATCAAGCTATAATTTCTGTAAGTCATTTAAGTTAAATCAAGCAACTTCATTTGAAATTCACTGGACCTTTAAAAATATTAGGATTAATATATTCATCACCTTAGTGCAGTAAAATGTTCACTTTTAATTTTAATAGGAATTAACCAATTTTTGCACAATTGAAACAATGTGAAAGGATTCATATGTATTAGGATTTATATCTGCAAGGATTTATAAATCTTAGGATTCATATCTGCAAGGAACCATTAATTTTAAGATCCATATATACAAGGGGCTATAAATTATAGGATTCATAATTGTAAGGATCCATAAATCTTACGATTCATACATGTAAGAATCCATATAAGAATCCATAAATCTTAGGATTCATATCTTCAAGGAATTGTTTACCTGTATGAATACATAAACCTCATGCCCATATATTTAGATCACCAATGAATTACAGGACCTTTCATATATCAAGGAATTAAATATGTTAGAATTAATAAATCTAAGAAATTAAAGTTTAATCTTTGGAATATGTGCCTTTATTAAATATGTACTTATTTCACTTTGCTCAATTTCATTCATCAACAAAATAATGTATTTACACAGTTCAATTATTTACAGAGTTCAATTAAATAATGCAGTGTAACTATTTCTAATGTGCGTTTATATTCTTTAAACAGCATATATATTGTTTTTACTTTACAAACTCAAAATCCCTTTTTCCATTGCCTATATATTGCTTCTTCCTAGAAAAAAATGCCAGAACTGATAAATAATTCCATATTAACTTCTAATCAATAGAAATATTAACCAAACATCTTTAAACAAAGGACGAAATTTCAACCCTTGATAAAAATTTTTAAAGGAACTCCAACAAGTGTTGCAATGCTTTTCAATTTTGGTAATTTTTTTTCACAAATTAGAAAAAGTATTCCAGAAAAACAGAACAGCGAAACATCCAGTTACACGCCAAGTTATTTGTCTAGACCTAGTCCAATTGACACATTAATCTTAAACAAGAGCATTATATGCCCGAAAGTATTTTTTTTTTTAGTAAGGATGACCTTAACCGTTGACCTTTTGACCCCAAAATCAATAAGGGTCTTCTACCCAATATGGACAATCATCCTATGAAGTTTGAACATTGTGGGCCAAATGGAACTTAACATATGCTCCGGCAACTCTTTTCAGTATCAAGGTAATAGTGACCTTCACCTTTGACCTTTTGACCCCAAAATCAACAGGGGTCTTCTACCCAATATGGACAATCATCCTATGAAGTTTGAACATTGTGGGTCAAATGGAACTTAAGTTATGCGTGGAAACATATTTTTCAGTATCAATGTAATAGTGACCTTCACCTTTGACCTTGTGACCCCAAAATCAATAGGAATCTTCTACCCAATATGGACAATCATCCTATGAAGTTTGAACAGTGTGGGTCGAATGGAACTTAAGTTATGCTCTGGAAACTGTTTTCAGTTATAAGGTAATAGTGTTTGTTTGTTTGTTTGTTTGTTTCATTTTACGCCTTTTTCAACAGTATTTCAGTCATATAGGCGGGTACATTCCTAAACATCGTTCCTGGAGAGTTACACCAGTACTAGACTACCTTCCTCCGCGCTAAACTACCAAAGCATCTCCCGGGGATCGAACCCACGCCAGAGAGGTAACTGGATTAGAAGTCATCGACTCTAACCCCTCGACCACGGAGGCGGTCTAGGTAATAGTGACCTTGACCTTTGACCTTTTGACCCCAAAATCAATAGGTGTCTTCTACCCAATATGGACAATCATCCTATGTAGTTTGATCATTGTGGGACAATTGGAACTTAAGTTATGCTCCGGAAACTGTTTTCAGTATCAAGGTCATTGTGACCTTGACCTTTGACCTGTGACCCCAAAATCAATAGGGGTCTTCTTCCCAATATGGACAATCATCCTATGAAGTTTGAACATTGTGGGTCAATTGGAACTTAAGTTATGCTCTGGAAACTGTTTTCAGTTATAAGGTAATAGTGACCTTGACCTTTGACCTTTTGACCCCAAAATCAATAGGGGTCTTCTACCCAATATGGACAATCATCCTATGAAGTTTGAACATTGTGGGCCAATTAGAACTTAAGTTATGCTCCGGAAACTGTTTTCAGTATCAAGGTCATAGTGACCTTGACCTTTGACTTTGTGACCCCAAAATCAATAGGGGTCTTCTTCCCAATATGGACAATCATCCTATGAAGTTTGAACATTGTGGGTCAAATGGAACTTAAGTTATGCTCCGGAAACAGTTTTCAGTTTTAAGGTAATAGTGACCTTGACCTTTGACCTCTTGACCCCAAAATCAATAGGGGTCTTCTACCCAATATGGACAATCATCCTATGAAGTTTGAAGATTGTGGGCCAATTGGAACTTAAGTTATGCTCCGGAAACTGTTTTCAGTATCAAGGTCATAGTGACCTTGACCTTTGACCTTGTGACCCCAAAATCAATAGGGGTCTTCTGCCCAATATGGACAATCATCCTATGAAGTTTGAACATTGTGGGTCGAATGGAACTTAAGTTATGCTCCGGAAACCATTTTCAGTTTTAAGGTAATAGTGACCTTGACCTTTGACCTTTTGACCCCAAAATCAATAGGGGTCTTCTACCCAATATGGACAATCATCCTATGAAGTTTTAACATTGTGGGCCAAATGGAACTTAAGTTATGCTCCGGAAACCAAATTGCTAACGGACGGACGGACGGACGGACAGACAGACAGACAGACGGACGCCAGGGGGTATAACATAATATGCCCTTTCGGGCATATAAAAAATATGTTCCAGTCCCATCATGTCAACAACAACAAAAATCCTCAGTGGAGTCCCTTTAATCATTAAAATATATATGCTTGCATTAATTTAGCTGTTTTTTTCTGACAATGAATTATGCTATGCTCTATAATTCAGCCATGAACCAGCTACATTTCTAAAATTGGCATGTCTAGCTTTCAATTGGAATTGTCCATTATTTATTCTGGGTATATCAAGATGAAAATTTAAAGTCAGTCAGCCAATAGGGTAAAGCCTGGCCCAGTATTGGTGGCAAAGGTTAATCCCTTTCGGTCCCAGCAGGGTAAATGTTAACATATTCTTTATGACAAACATCTGGATGACATCTGATACTAATGTTTATTTTATCAGTATCTTGACCTTTGACATATATTTCACTTAAGTGGACATTGCTCATCATAAAAAAAAAATTTACAGACATTGTTGGTTCTACTCAGGTGCCTATTCATGCCTGAAATAATGTACAAAGGGGCCCCTGTTGTCTTCCTCCACCAGTAAAGCTAGGGAGTCACCATATGACCACTACTGTATTGGTGGGTCATAAAACACAACCCCCCCCCCCCCACCCACAAAAAAACCCACAACACACATTTAAAAGAGAATTTCCAAAAAATGAAAACTTTATTTTACATGTATGATACTCACTTTTTATTTGCAAGAGGTTTTAAAGTCCATGTATCTTCATCCTCATCATAAATGGCACGATTCTGAAGTTTGGTTTTCTCCTCCGATGGAATGAAATTGTCGATGATCAACATTCTGAAAATATACAATAAAACAATATAAAAATAAACTGTGTACCTAATCTGTTATAAAAACAGTATTTACAGTGGTCTTAATTAAGCACAAAACCTGTTGAGAATTGTAGATGCTTGTGATTATTTATATGTAAGATAGCTACTCACTACATGAAGACATAAATAAATTGAATATAGAATTCAATATCGCCGTCAAGAATGTGTTCCAGCCGGCAACCATTCTCAATTTGCTAGGCCCTTTATACAAAATTCTTTTAACAAAATAATATACAAGTAACTGTAAAATAAATGATGGTCTATGGATTCACATAATTCTAATGAAGTATTCTTTTTTATATTTATTTTATCTTTCTCCAGCTGAGATCTTTGTAAAAGTCAATTAATAGCTACTTTCCAGCTTTCACTGTTTTATTTTTATGCATAAGCAGGCACCTCAGCAGAATCTTTTGCATTCACATGAAAGTAACAAAAATTCCACTCAAAGTTCAAAGCCAAGGGAGGTAATCAGAAAATTATTAAACAAGAGCTGTCAGAAGGACAGCGCGCTCGACTTTTTTAGTGCTTGCCTATAAAACAAAACTTTGACAGTTAAGGGCACACAAGACTTTAACTAGGAATTTCTAAGTACAAATCAAGAAACATTTTCACAGAGTTATCTTCTCTTGCTTACAGATAGGTCTCATGATGGCACATAAGAACTCCAACTTCCAAAGTAATATCTCAAATGGTTAGGTCAACAAGTGGACAAGAATGAAAATTTTAACTGAGTTTCTAAGTCAAAAAGGGCCATAATTCAAATAAAATCCTTAACAGAATTACCTTCTCCTGCCCATGTTTGGGACCATGATGGTAAACAAGTATTCCAACTTTCAATTTAATATCTCAACCAGTTCAGTCAAAAAGTTGACTGGTACAAAAAACTTAACCAAGATTCTAAGTCGATAAAAGGCCTTAATTTTTAAAACAAATCCCTGACAGAGTTACCTTCTCTTGCGTACAGATGGGGGTAATGATGTGAAATAGCATTAAAAGTTTCAAAGCAATATCTCAAAGGGTTAAGGCAATAAGTGGATTTTACCCATATTCAATGTATTTTCTAAGTCAAAAAGGGGCATAATTCTGTCAAAAACCTTGACAGAGTTATGTCCTCTTGTCTGTTGATGAAGGTCGTGATGGTAAACAAGTATGGTCAGTTTCAAAGCAATACCTCCAATGGTTTTGAAATAAAGTGAGGTGGTACAAAAAACTTAACCAAGCTCAATACACTTTCTAAGTCAAAAAAGGGCCATAATTCTGTCAAAAACCTTGACAGAGTTATGTACTCTTGTCTGTAGATGGAGGTTATGATGGTGAACAAGTATGGTAAGTTTCAAAGCCATACTTGTAATACTTCTGAAATAAAGTGGGGTGGTACGAAAAACTTAACCAAGGTGTGACGCCAACGCCGACGCTAACGCTAACGCCGACGCCGACGCCGACGCCGACGCCGGGGCGAGTAGGATAGCTCCCCTTTTCATAGAAAAGTCGAGCTAAAAATCAGCGACCTGACCGGTTCAGTAACCTATGCTCGTATTTATGCTTACTTGAGCTTTAGTTCTCGTGTAAGTTCATTCTGGGTCTGTTCTAGCTCCTGGCGTTCTTTGACATGTTCCTCCTGAAGATCCTGGATTTCTTGCTTCGTAGCTTGTAACTTTGCAAATAACTGTAAACATCAATTCATAGAAAATTACACTATGTTTCAAAACGGACAAATTCTAGCCCAGTACAAAAATAATTCTATATCAACAGATGAGTTATGAATACAAACAACCCAAATCATAAAAGATATATATAACTGGAAATAACATTAGAACAGATCATTTATTGTAACCAAATATCGGCACTGAACCTTTTTACCTGACAACATTGTTAAAGTGAGTTAGATGTTTTATAGTAAGCTTTAGCAAAATTTAAGATTTTCATCAAATAACCATTTCTTACATATATTACAAATTTGCAACACAAAGTTAGGGTAGGTGCCCACTTTAGTGTAACACATTTTACTAAGTGTGGTAGGTGTGCATTCTATTGTAACACATTTTAGTAAGTGAGGCAGGTGGCCACTCTTGTGTAACATGTTCTGTTAAGTGAGATAGGTGCCCACTGTACTGTAACACATTTTAGTAAGTGAGGCAGGTGGCCACTCTTGTGTAACATATTTTGCTAAGTGAGGTAGGTGCCCACTTTATCGTAACATATTTTAGTATGTGAGGTAGGTGTGCACTCATGAGTAGCACATTCCAGTAATTGAGCTACTCTCTTGTGATACACATTCTCGTAAATGAGGTTTGTATTCACTATTGTCTTACAGTTACACATTCTAGTGAGTTTTGTATGTTCTCTTGTGTCACACAATCAAGTAACTGAGGTACACTTTTATGTTACACATTCTAGTAAGAGAGGTTTGTACATATTCCTGTGTTGCATGTTCTAGTAAGTAAAGTTTGTATATACTAGTAAGTTACACATTCTAGTAGGTGAGGTAGATACACAATCATGTTACACATTCACTTACCTTCTTCAGTTTTTTTGTTTTCACCTCCACTTCTTGTTGTAGAGACACATATGTTTCCTGTAACTCTACAGCAGATTCCTCTTTCTCCTCCAACTTTCTCTGTATATCCCTCTCTACTTGCTTTTAATAAATATCAATAATTACTGTGTAAGTAAATAGAAAACAGTAATCTATTCCCCCTCCCACCATCCCACCTGCTACAGAATCTACCCATGCAACCAATTTCAATTTTTTATAAAAGAAAAAAAACTACTAGAATTTACAATTGATGCCACTTTAATCAAAATCAATTATTCCATCTATTTCTTATCATTAACTTATCAATTCAGTGTCTGTGAAATCTGTACCAGAATGACCTTCAAACAAAATTTATTGTTTGTTTATTTTGGGTTTAATGTCACATTGACACAGTAAAGGTCATATCGCGATGTTCCAGCTTTACTTGTGGAGGAAGACCTCAGGTGCCCTTCCGTGCATTATTTCCAAAATTTATTGAATGAGTTGAATAATATCATATTATGCCAGCCTCTGACTATTGTTTTATTCAACAAGTTCAATAAATTTAGTATTGAATCTATACAAATATAATATTCTATTTATGAAATATCTAAAATAAGAACGGTTTTCAGCTAAAAGTCAACTTTCATTGATGCGTCTATAGTGTAACACTAACATTAGCACATTTTAACGCTATGTTTGTATATAACGAAAATGACGTCACATGAAAGTTTTACTACACAAGTATAATATCCTTTTTATTAAATTGGTTGATTACATTTCTGCACTTTGGCTTATGTGATAAGTAGCTTAATATACTTTAAATGACAAGTCATTAAGAGTATTTTATATTCAATAATAAAATACGAACCATTTGTTGGGCAATCTCCTTTCTTCTCTGTTCTAATGCCTTCTGTTGTTTGTTAGTATGATCCACTATGTTACCCATCAATAACTTACTCTCCATAGCCTAACAATATAAAATGATAGTTAAAGTGGCATTATTCTCAAAAGCCAGACTGAATCCATTACAGAACAAGACTTGTAATCTCAACTCCAAGGTGGGTTCGATTCCCGGGCTGGCCAACTAAAATTACTAATCAGTCTTTCCAACTAGACTTTAAATCAAGATCCCGTGTACGAGTTCTTAAACACTTGGCACACTAAAGAACCAAGAGAAGCTTCTGGAATTCAGGCATCCTTCTTTATCAGTATCTTGCACTATCCTCCAAAATATAAAATGACTAATTCTCTCCTGGTGGACTCGCCCATATGTGCAACCGGTGGAGGGTATTGATAAACTCAAATACACACTCACAGTAATCTCATCTTTGTTGTTGTCAAGTTGAGCTTAATAAGTATTATACTTTAAAAAAGTGTGATTGAAAAACAATTGATTACAAAAATTGTTTAGATAATACAAATTTATTTTTTGTTTGATTGTTTTGGAAGCTATAAGCTTATTGAATAAGCTTGGGACTTTCCTTCATCAACTTAGGGGATATCAAGATGAAAATTTAAAGCTAGTAAGTCTAGCCAACAGTATAGAGTTTGGTCACCCGCAGGAAAGTGGCCGGCCCGCAGGGCACTTTACTGGCAAGCAAATGCTAATCACTTTTTTCCAGTAAAACCCTTTTATAATCTTTTTTTTTTATTCACATGTTAAATGTCTGCAACTACATAAATTTTTAATTCATTTTACCTTAAATTTTAGACTCTCATGGATAAAGAAACAAATTTAAAAAATATGTTTTTGAACCACAGCATCTGAATGTCTGAAAAAAATACAAAAAAATGATTTTTTCCTTTTACATCACCTTAATTTAGACTCAAACTGGCCCCCTTTTCTTTTTCTTTTTCTTCATCCTTCCCTCTTTCTCTTGTATCTCATTCAAGATTCTGTCTTTTTCCTGTGAACAGAATAAAAACCTTAATAAATACAATATAAAATAAAAAACTTTTATATAAACTTCTTTATCAGCTGTGTGTCTTTAATTAACAAGATAACAAAAATAAAATATTTCTGAGAAATAAAACAACATCATTTCTGAGGCATTATGGGCCTTTAAGATCATAAATAAACTTCCCAGCTTTTATTTGTAAGAGGAATACTCCGGTAACCCTACCATGCATTATTTTCAGGCATCATTGGATACCTGTGCAAAACCACCATCATTGTAGAAGACATGTAGAAAAACCACAATCATTCTAGAGAACATGTAGATAAATTCACTTACTGTTTGAATCATGCTTTTGTTATTTAAGATAGCCTCTTTCTCTTGTTCTAGTTTGGCTTGTTGTTCCTGCATGTATGCCTCAGCGTCTGCTTCATTACTTTCCTCTTCTTCTTCTTCATCATCATCACCTTCTGAATCACTGATTATCTCCCCTGTTTAAACCAAACCAAAATCGATTAATCATTGAATATCTCCCCTGTTTAAACCAAACCAAAATCGATAAATAAAATTAGTGATTATTTACCCTGTTAATACCAAACAAAATTTATAAATCACTGATTATCTTCCCTGTTAATACCAAACCAAAATTTATTAATTACTGATTATTTCCCCTGTTTAAACCAAAAACAAAATTTGTAAATCATTGATTATCTCCCCTGTTTAAATCAAAACAAAATTCATAATCATTGATTATCTCCCCTGTTTAAACCAAGAAAAAATTGATAAATTAAATCAATATCTCCCCTGTTGATACCAAAACAAAATTGGTTAATCAAATCAGTGATTAATAAAATATAAAATATAAGTCAACAGTGAAAAGAAATAAGAGCAAATATCTTAAAAAGAAACAGCTTTCAAAATATCATTCTTTTAACAGTTGAAGGAATCTTCTTTTACCTGAACTTCTTACATGGACTTGTCCAGTTTTCATTATTTGAACTTTCCATTATCAATTTTAGGTAAAAAAAAAGAGAACAATAATTTGTAACAGAGTTACCAACGTCCCCCGCCTCGGGAAGTTTTATATGAAGGATAAAATTGTGATATTTCAAAAGATTGAGGTATGGATCTCAGGACATTCAGTCCAAAATTATAATCAATGCTAGATCTGCAAATGTAATCATAAATTTGTTAAAAAAAATAAAATGAAACACGGAATTTAAAAATCTATCATGTTAAGCTTTGACCTCTAAGTGTGACCTTGACCTTGGAGGTAGGGGAGCAGGTGTTGTGCATGACATAATGTCTTATTATTGAGACTATTTGTGCCAAGTATTTTCAAAATCCCTTGAACTATGAAGAAGCTATAGATTGGACACAAAATATACCCTATAACAGACTATGTAAATCTTTGACCTCTAAGTGTGACCTTGACCTTGGAGGTAGGGACACAGATGTTACACATGACATATCATCTAATCATTGTGACTATTTGTGCCAAGTGTTTTCAAAATCCCTTAATCTATGATCTATGAAGAAGTAATGGACGGGACACAAAATATACCAAATAACAGACTCTGTTAACCTTTGACCTGTAAGTGTGACCTTGACCTTGGAGGTAGGGGTGCAGGTGTTGTACTTGACATAATGTCTTATTATTGTGACTATTTGTGCCAAGTTATTTCAAAATCCCTTGAACTATGAAGAAGTTCTAGATCCGACACAAAATATACCCTATAACAGACTATGTTAATTTTTGACCTCTAAGTGTGACCTTGACCTTGGAGGTAGGGATGCAGGTGTTGCGCATGACACATCCTCTTATTATAGTGACTATTTGTGGGAAGTATTTTCAAAATCCTTTGATCTATGAAAAAGTTATGGACCGGACACAAAATATACCCTGTAACAGACTATGTAAGTATTTGACCTCCACATGTGACCTTGACCTTGGAGGAAGGTCACCGGTTTTTGCGTATGACACATCATCTGATTATTGTTAACAATTATGGCAAGTATTTACAAAATTCCTTCATAGATAAGAAAGTTATGGACCGGACACGACATATACCCCAAATAGACAATGTTGACCTTAAATGAGCAAGTACGACCTTGACCCTGAAGGTACGGGTCTGGTTGTTGCGCATGACACATCGTCTTATTATAACAAACATTTGTGCCAAGTTATTTCAAAATCCTTTGATCTATGAAAAAGTTATGGACCGGACACGAAATATACCCTGTTACAGACTATGCTTATATTTGACCTCCAAGTGTGACCTTGACCTTGAAGGTAGGTGACCAGTTTTTGCTCATGACACATCGTCTGATTATTGTGAACAATTATGGCAAGTATTTACAAAATCCCCTCATAGATAAGAAAGTTATGGACCGGACACGACATATACCCTCAAATAGGCAATGTTGACCTTGAATGAGCAAGTGCGACCTTGACCCTCGAGGTAGGGGTCTGGTTGTTGCGCATGACACATTGTCTTATTATAATTAACATTTGTGCCAAGTTATTTCAAATTCCTTTCATAAATGACAAAGTTATGGACCGGACACGAAAGTGTGACGGACGGAAGGACAGAGCCTATTTCTATATCCCCCTTTTTTCTTCAAAAGGCGGGGGACAAAAAAAACAACTTATAGAGCCTGGTTGGACTGCACAGATGAGCAGGTTGGCTTGGCTTTATACTTGTGACCAAATAAGTGGAGAAAAACAGACTCCCTAAAGAACACCCTAAATGACAAAATTGAAAAATATTGCAAGCTCGTTTTGATTGAGTCTGTTCATCGACGGTACTAGAAAGTGCAAGGTACTGTACACGCACAATAGCAGGCTTATCACTGCTGACTCCAAGGGGAGGATTTGTTTGTTTGATTTGGTTTTATATCACACTGACATCAGTATAGGTCATATGGCAACATTCTATTTTTTTCTGTCTGGTGGAAAAACATGAAGTGCCCTTCAAATAATTATCTCTGGCACAAACGTGCACCTGAGTAGAATCACTGACATTCTAACTGGATAGCTTCCTTACACAAGATAATCCAATGTTCCTGTCAGGATTTGAGCCCACAGAGATAATCCAAAGTTCCTGTCAGGATTTGAGCCCACAGAGATAATCCAATGTTCCTGTCAGGATTTGAGCCCACAGAGATAATCCAATGTTCCTGTCAGGATTTGAACCCACAGAGATATTCCAAAGTTCCTGTCAGGATTCATACCCACAGAGATATTCCAAAGTTCCCATCAAGATTTGAACCCACAGAGATAATCCAAAGTCCCTGTCAGGATTCAAACCCAGAGAGATACTCAAGGAGGTTAAAGGTTAATATCTTACCATTCTCATTCCTTCTAGCATGCTTCCTTCTCTTCTTTTTCTTTGGACCTCCCTTCCCGGCTAAGTTTGCTTTCAGTCTTAAAAATAAATATTATTTTACTTTAATAGCAATACTATTCAAAACATACAACTTATCAATACATAATAAATTCATTTATCCTTTTAAGCTACTTTTTTTTTAATTAGTACCTTCTGTTAAGACAGCCATTCCTGATCCCTAAAATATATATTTTAAGATTTTTTTTCTCAGTTTAAAAAATCTACTTAGATGAAAGTTATTGACACTGTTTGTAATAAAAATTTATTTTAGTTTGAATGTGTTGTAAGTTATAAGCGTATTTAAACACTCCGTTCCAAAAACCAGCCAGTTCTAAGCAATAAACATAAAGTTTCTTGCTCAAGGAAACAATGTCTTGCCCCTGATTGGGTTTGAACCCATGTGGTCAGCAATTCTTAAGTTAGTAGTCCGATGCGTTAACCACTCTGCCATGCCAACACTGCTATTTAATTCTATAGAAATACTTACCTGGCTATTTCTTCTTGGAATTCTCTCAACAATGCATCTTTAGGATCTTCATTAATCTTAGGTTTATTCTTGATATTCTTGGCTCTATTTGCATATCTATAACAAAGAAGTTCATCATTAAATTATCATGTACCTCAGCCTCTGATAACCATTACTCTGTATAATGGACTTTTCCTGTTATTTAATTTTCGAAATGTTCAAGAATAGTTTCTGGATCTCAGAGAGTTGTGAAAGCTATAGCATTCTTCATTTGTTAGAATTTCATATTAATATTGATAGGAAAAAGAACGACGGAATATTCGGCATCAGGAACTTTTTTCACTCACTGACACACAAATCTTAAGACTTCACAAAAGGAGAATATATTTGCAATGTGGATGTAAAGTTTACTACAGAGTAACCTCTGTGGAGAGGCCTACTGTAGAAAACAATAAACCTTTTTGACAACAAAATGATCAATTTTTTTGAGGTGAGACTTTACAATGAATTTAACCTCTCTGAAAGAAACATCTCTAGATAACAACCAAATAGTTTTTCTCTATTGCTAAGCAAAAGATGTACTGTATTTACTAGAGTATAAAACTGCAAATAAGCCGTGTCATGACAAAATCAACATAGAGTGTTTGCGACCAGCATCCGCACAGTCTGATCAGGATCCATTCTGTTCGCTTACAAACCCTATTACAAGTACAGAAACTGATAGCGAACATCATGGATCCTGATCAGACTGCGCGGATGCGCAGGCTGGACTGGATCCATGCTGATCGCAAACCCACTATGTTGGTTTTGTCATGACCCGGCTCAAATAAGTACCCAACCATTCTAGTTACACACATATACATGTAACTTCATATGTGGTAACTGCCTGAAGGGACCTTATTTGATGACAATTAAAATTTCTGAAGGTATTCTTATAAAAAAAGTAATAACCTGAGGGTACTCATGGTTTCATCGAAGTTATAATCTGCAGGCCCAATATTGGCAACCATCACAGTCTTGGCATTTCCACCCAGAGAATCTGTTAAAACAAAGATGGGGTTATTGATGTTCTTATCATTTAACCTTGAGACCACTAAATCAGAAATGTTGGTTCTTGATGATATGGGTTATCTCATCAACACAGTGTACGTTATATGGCGATGTTCAAGTTTTACTGGTGGAGGAAGACCTTAAGTGCTCTTCTGTGCATGAACCAGCACCTGAGTAGAACCACCAATGTTCCGTAAGCTAGCTGGATAGCTTCCTCCCATGAAAGAATCATGACACGATTCATACCAACAGTGGTGAGGGGCTATGGTTTGAAGTCAAAACCCTTTACCACTCAAATATTACATACATGCTTTTATTTAAATTCAAATCAGTAATCAGTAAACACTTCACTGAGCAGAAAAAATACCCAAAGCATGTTTTCTGTACACCAGGGTCTTTCAAATAGAATATTTTTACATTTTAATTTCATTTTTGAACGATGATGTACTATGCCAGATCAAACTAATCACGTAACGCAGCCTAGACATCTTTTTCCATAAAATTAGTCTGACCCCAGACCATTCTCTTTGAAAGACCCTGTGTACACTTTATATAATAGAGCACAACAATGTATGGAAACATAGAAATGTTCAATACCTTGTAATAACCTGGTGAGTTTAGAATCTCTGTAAGGTATATGTGTACTCTTGCCATCAACAAGTGCTGAGATCACGTTACCCAAGGCTGACAACGACAGGTTGATTTTTGTAGCTTCTTTTAACCTTTGACCCTAATAAAAATAAACATGTACATGGCAACATGTAAAATGTGATTATTGTAGAGAATACACTCTATAAATGAATATTTATAAAAACAAAACTTTTATAGTGCCAGATACAAAACTTCTGGTTCTTTGATTACAATAAAGTGTTGAAAATTGAGTACTGTTCAAGCCGGTGCTGGGGGCATGAGGGGTGGTGCACATTTTCATCATCCCTCATGTACATACTCAATCAAACTGAGTCTGCAATGTTCATGTAATTTTGTTGTGATTAATGCTTCAGAGGGATCACATTTTCTTCCAGATTTATTTTTTTCTATATTGTCCTACTTTTTAAATTTTTATTTGGTTTCAAGTCACAAAAATGCTGATATGGTCATAAAGTTACTCTTAAGCTGTACTTAAAGAAGGAGACTTCAGGTGCTCTTTTGTGTATCATTTCAGGCACCAGTGAAGCAACAAGTAAAATCATTGACTTTCCTTAATATAGCTGAACAACTTCCTAATACGATAGAATCCAAAGTCCCAATAGTTATCGCGGCCTAGATAATTACCTTTCATGACATAATATTCCACTAGAAAATTATTGTAGTTCATAGTTTTCAATCTTTGAAACTCGAACAACACTAAATATCTTAAATGGACTTAATCCAAATATAATTCTGAACCAGACCATTACCACTGATCTCAGCCTACACTAGTCACCCTGTAACGAGGCTCTGCCAAGTTTCCAGTAAACAGTTACCCAAGAGCTAGATATTCATATCTGTTACAACAGCCGCTGTTTGATTCTTTTTCTTGCATATCACAATTTAATAATATTATAAGAAATTACAAACTAATATTTTCATTTAGCATTTTTTTTCTTACAGTAGCGTATGAATTTACAACTATATTCATAACAGCACAATGCGATAACCCTAAGAACGCAATTCATTCATAAAAGGCGAGTGGGAATGACAACATTTTAAACACGTCACTTGTCTTACTTGGTCGTGTAAGACAGATTTTTCTAGCACCTGTGTAAACAGTAGATGATCCTGTCTGATATGCAAGAAAAACTAATATGTATCTTCACAGCTATTCCACGGCCATGAGTCTTGAGTTATATAACCTTAACCTATGTTTCTCCTATAAGCATGTAACATCGGTATTTTATAGAAAAAGAATTTCAATTCACTCACGAAAAAATAATAATAAATGTTAAATATAGATTATATACTTACTTCAGATTTTGTTTTTTCCTGTCTTTCACTTCCTGCTAAATCTACCAAATTAAGACGACCAACTCTGATATGGTTTTCTTCATCTGCCCCCATCTTTACATGAAAGATAACAAAAACATGTAAGATATAGTCATAGTGTACCAGTAATTATCTGCCTTCAAGGAATTTGAGATCTTGTGATCGAGACTCATTTGTCAAAAGTATTGGTAAATTTACACCAGTTCCGGGTTAAGCACAGAAAACATACTTGACATGACTTAACATGATTTGACATTAATTCAGAGCTTTCCCCAAAATAAGTCAAGGTAAAGTAAGCATGTTAAAGCCAGAAAAAGTCTGTGTATTAGGAATGCACATATAATATACTTTACACTTATGCCACTCCTATTGAGAACGTCCATGCCTTTAACCTCACTAAATTTTTTTTAGTCCAGACCATGTCCATTTAAGTTGAGTTTTTATTGTTTATCAATATCATAATCTTTCTGCTAAGTGCCATAATTTCTATTCAAACTATGACAATTTAAATACTGCTATTTTTATTACCACAATTTTCATTTATTAAATCATATAATATTACCTTTGTGGAGCCACCCTCTGTAAAGCAATAACCTCTATACAACAACTGAATCAAAACACTAAATTTAACCTATCCAGAGAAAAACCTCTCAGCAAAATCAGTAAAAGGTGTGGCCATGCATGGATTGTTCTGTACCATAACATTTCCATTGTGGCTGAGGGGGTTGAGGCACTAGAACTGCAGCCACTGTTTATCCCTGCGTGATCATAAGAGGCGACTAAATGGGTTCGAATTACTGAGTCTATGCAGTGTGAGGTGGTTTTGACACACCTGGTGTTGCTTTTACTTTAGTTTGTAACACCCAAAGATAGCCAAAATCATTCTTTCCTGTTTAGACTCCATATGACCTAAAATGTGTTGTGTTTCGTAAAACTTAATAGAAAAACAAACAAACTTTATAATCTAATTAGAATCATGAACAATACAATACAGTAATAGTGCAATGTTCTTACCTCACTACATTCTATAGTAATGATAAAGATGGCATGACTTCTAGAACTGTGCTCATTCATGTCTGTAGCTCTGAAAAAAATGCCTTTTTATAAAAATATTATCAACACTCATCTTAATGACAAAAGCATCACATGTGGTGCTAATGCTTGTCTGATATAATTCTAAGTTCAAAAATGGAATCACCCAAAAAATATCGCTTTCAGTATTATGCCCCTTGTCTTGATAAACAAGTCATTGATAACAAAGTTGATAACTTTTAAAATGGTAGAATAATGGACTACGTTAAAGTTTTTGCACAACAACAATGACGATGACGCTGCCACAGCTATCATATTAGCTCGACTTTTTCTATGGAAGTGACAAGCTAAAAATGAATAGAATTTCAAAATATATCCAGTGAAGTGAAACATTTTTTTCCTCATTAGATTTTTCATTTAACGAAAAATTTTGTAAAAAAAAAATCATCTTATGGCTGTGAAGGATAAATAGCAAAAACCTTGAATAATGTAAAGAAAATTGAAGTTTCAGCCCATTATAGTCTTAAGCATAGTATGTAAATAAAACCATAAAGTATAAATACATATTTTCTCCAACCTGTTAACAGATGAAGCAAATTTTTGGAGATTTCTAAGAAAATCTTAATAAGTTGATTGCTATCAAATGTTTTAAGGGTAATGAAAACAATTATTCTTTGTGTTCCGGAGGCTGTAATGTAAAACTTATGCTACCACTACCAGTATAGAGCTAGGACAGCCTGAATATCTGTGCAATCTGATCAGGCTCTACAACATTTGTTTGCTTGGCATTTTTATGCAGATTTAAACATTTTTTTTGTCATATCTTTGCAATCAAATTCAATCCATCTGACCGACTTTCCTGGATAACTAACCAGTGCTTACAAATCTCTCTGCAAGTGAGTTGACTATAAATACAACATGACTTCTAATCAGCAGTGAAAGACAAATGGCCACAAGACACAATTCTCACAATCAATTGTCGCTGAGAAATTTCATCTCCTTCGAGGACGGCACCAGCCACCCTTGGAATATAAATCCAATGCTCTCTCTATTGAAAGCTGTGTGGTTTATTACTTTGATTAAGTTTCTATTTGTTTGTTTTATTTTTTACGCCTTTTCCCAACAGTATTTCAGTCAAATAGGTGGGTAGTTTCCAAACCATCGTTCCTGGAGTTACACCAGTACTAGATTACCTTCCTCCATGCTAAACTACCAAAGCATCTCCCGCGGATCGAACCCATGCCAGAGAGGTAACTGGATTAGAAGTCATCGACTCTAACCCCTTGACCACAGAGGCGGTTGATTAAGTTTCTATATTTTTTATCAAAATCTATTATACTAATGACAAGCAATTTCAGATTAAATTCAGGGCATTGCAGTTTTACAAATTCAGCAATTTAAGGTTTGAATCCAGTACAAATTAAGTGGTAAGTGATAATTTATACGGTTATGTACAGCAAATCATTGGTCAAATTTATTACAACTTGTAGTTACTGCCATATTGTGATCTACTAAAACTGAAAATGAGCCGTGTCATGACAAAACCAACATAATGGGTTTGCGACCAGCATGGATCCAGACCAGCCTGCGCATCCACGCAGTCTGATCAGGATCCATGCTGTTCGCTTACAAACCCTACAACAAGTAGAGAAACTGATAGCGAACAGCATGGATCCTGATCAGACTGTGTGGATGCGCAGGCTGATCTGGATCCATGCTGGTCGCAAACCCATTATGTTGGTTTCGTCATGACGCAGCTCAAATTATAAAAAATCCTTTTCTGAGTCTTACCCGACAGATCTGTTCTGGTTACCTACGTTCATAACATGTTCAATTTCTCGTACACTCTTTGTCACAAATGATGACAAGTCCTAGAAAATAAAAAAAAAACTTCATAAATTAATCAAATTTTTAAAGTAAATCATAGATGTTATTAAAATATAGAGTAAAAAATTCTTGATAAGTGATTTGACAGTCTACCCTTTTAGCTACAAACAACAGTCTGGTATATAGATGTTACATCTTTTTTTCCTTCTTTTTGGTTGTGTTTAACATTATACCAACACAGTTAAAATCATATGGTAACTTTCCAGCTTTACTGGTGGAGGAAGGATTCAGGTGTCACTTTGTACATTATTTCAGGCACATGCGGACACCTGAATAGAAACACTGACATTCCATAAGCTAGCTGGATAGTGTTCTCACATGAAGAATCTGAAGATGTTTCGTGTGGTTTGAACCTACAGAGGCAAGTCGATTGAAGTCAACGAACATAAAGACGTTTTTTTATATAAGTGATTTAGTTCAACTGATAGGCATCTTAAACATACTTGAAAGAAAATTTTAAAACCTTTGCAAATCTGCAAAGGTTGATAAAGAAATATGCTTAGAATTAAATTGAAATCAATTTTTTGTGTGCTTCTTGAATTTGAGAGAAAAACCTTGCCACGCTTTTAATTTTTGGGTTATTTTGCACATGAACATGACAATTCTGGATAAATTGGAAGAGGAAATGATCTGAAAATCTGCACAAAAGTTATTGGTTTAGACATACTTCAAACAGTACAACTTTTTCAAATAAAACAATACACTTTAAGTGCCTCATGCATTTATGCAAGAATTTCAAATTTTATGTTTTTAGGCTGTTTGACCTTAGTGGAGCTCCGTCAATCGTAACAATCAAAACCATTGGTTCTGACTTTCTCCAAGTGTGTAACAGTCTAAGTTACCTTCACATAAACACCCGTATCTGGTCGTTCCTTCAATTCTAAACGTCTGTTCTGGTCCTTTGATAAAAGGTCACGTATTTCCTCCTGCAATAACAACATAACAATCATTATCACGTATTTCCTCCTGCAATAACAACATAACAATCATTATCACGTATTTCCTCCTGCAATAACAACATAACAATCATTATCACGTATTTCCTCCTGCAATAACAACATAACAATCATTTTCACGTATTTCCTCCTGCAATAACAACATAACAATCATTTTCACGTATTTCCTTCTGCAATAACAACATAACAATCATTTTCACGTATTTCCTCCTGCAATAACAACGTAACAATCATTATCACTATTTCCTCCTGCAATAACAACATAACAATCATTATCACCTATTTCCTCCTGCAATAACAACATAACAATCATTATCACGTACATCCTCCTGCAATAACAACATAACAATCATTATCACTATTTCCTCCTGCAATAACAACATAACAATCATTATCACGTATTTCCTCCTGCAATAACAACATAACAATCATAATCACGTATTTCCTCCTGCAATAACAACATAACAATCATTTTCACGTATTTCCTCCTGCAATAACAACATAACAATCATTATCACTTTTTTCCTCCTGCAATAACACCATAACAATCATTATCACGTATTTCCTCCTGCAATAACAACATAACAATCATTATCACTATTTCCTCCTGCAATAACAACATAACAATCATTATCACCTATTTCCTCCTGCAATAACAACATAACAATCATTATCACGTACATCCTCCTGCAATAACAACATAACAATCATTATCACTATTTCCTCCTGCAATAACAACATAACAATCATGTGTATCACTAGTATAATACAGAGATACTTGGTTTATACAGAATTTATTTTAGTTCAATTGTGTAGGAAGTTATAAGCAAAAAGACAAACTTTCCAATCCTTTCTTTGTACCAACCGATTCTGAACAATGAGTGTGAAGTTTCTTGCTCAAGGAAACAACCACTTGCTCCCCACAGGGTTTGAACAGATGCGGATAGCGATTATAAGATTACTTGTCGGTGTTTTAACCATTCTGCCAGGCCACCACAAAAGAGATACTTGTAACAACATCTCTGTAATATCGAATCTTATCGAATAGTCGAGCTAAAAACCCCAAAAAACTGCCTCCAAACGTTCTTCTTAATAAACAACCACTAGGATTGTCTCGATGACAGGCCTTGACTTGGGAATTTTTTTTTAAAAATTGTAAAGTATTAGCAAAAGATAGCCAAACATATAAAATGTAAAAATAAATGATTTATGATTTATGCCGATTTTCCAGCTATTTTTTACTTAGAAATTCAAGTGTTGACTTTAATTACTGTTGTAGGGTTAAAAGACCGTATTTTGTAAACATAATTCAGAAGAAGTATTACTTTACATCCTATAGATTCTTTTAGAGTATCTTAAAGTCTTTGAACCGAACTTAATTTATGTGGGTCAATCTTTGAGACAATAAACAATGATTATTAAGATACAATAACATGCATCACAAAAAAAATGTGATTTACTTTCAAAGTTATCTCTCCAACCAGATTTGAGCCTAGCCATGGCAAAACGAACATAATGGGTTCGCGACCAGCATGGCTCCAGACCAGCCTGTGCATCCGCGCAGTCTGATCAGTATCCATGCTGTCGCTATCAGTTTCTCTACTTGTTATAGGGTTTGTAAGCGAACAGCATGGATCCTGATCAGACTGCGCGGATGCGCATGCTGGTCTGGATCCATGCTGGTCGCAAACGCACTATGTTGGTTTTGTCGTGACGTGGCTCATTTTTTTTTTATTAAAATCATAAGACAATAAATACCTGGTATATTTCTAAGTAAGAGGCCCTTATGAGGTACTGTTGATTTTCCGAGTTAGATATATGACTAAATATATGTTCAAATGAGTTAGGAATCACCCCTCGCTGTTCAGGATCATTTTTTAATCCTGAAACAAAATGAAAATGCATTTTATACTATAGTAGTAATTGTTATTTTTGTCAACTTTTAAATTAACACTGACATGCAGTAAAAGTTTAATGGTAACTTACCAACATTTCTTGTAGAGGAAGAACTCGATTACAGATCTGAGCATTTTTTTATCACTTATTATTTAGATAAAAAAAAAAAAAGAGGCACTTCCCATAAATATTGTACATGTAAGAATAACACAACATGATATAAATTGAATTATTGGGGAAAATTGCTTGATTTTAAAAAGACAGCTGATGGGGGCTGGCTCTCAATGGATGTTATTTCAAAGAATCAAATCTGGCATTACCGATCCTATCCTAGTAAAATCCACTTAGTTTATACTAGATTGTGTTGGAAGCTATAAGCTTATTGAAACACTCTCGAATCCGTTCCTAAAAACCAACAAGTACTTAGTAATGAGTGTAGTTTCTTGCTCACTGAAACAACGGCTAACAGGGTTTGAACCCACGCAGACAGCAATCCTTAAATTACTAGTCTGACGTTTTTACCACTCAGCCATGCTACCACTTGAGTCAAATATAAATTCCAGATTAAGATACTCATATAATAACTCTTATTTTATCAATTTTTCAAAAAAAAAAAATTGTCTTTCAAAACTTTGAGTGAAAATTTCAGTCAATAAAAATTACCTTGCATTGTATGTGTTTTGCCTGTTCCAGTCTGACCATAGGCAAAAATTGTCCCGTTAAATCCCTGAAGAACATTCTCCACAAGATCTCTGAAAGTCTCCTCATACAAATCCCTCTGTTTGGAACTATGACAAAAAAAATAGAAACTGTTTCAATGCAAACTATATGTGAAACAATTCTGATGCACAAATTTATGTTTGAAAATACAAAGGAAAATGATGTTTGATGACCGATTGACTTACTGATGATAAATCGGGAAAAAATTGTTGTGACAGCTGATTTGGAATATTTTTTGACACTATTTTGGAGGAAGACATGTGACCACAAACCTGGCATTCCACTGGTAACAAAACTAATTGAGTCGCGTCATGACAAAACCAACATAATGGGTTTGCGACCAGCATGGATCCAGACCAGCCTGCGCATCCGCGCAGTCTGCTCAGGATCCATGCTGTTCACTTATAGACCCTATAACAAGTAAAGAAACTGATAGCGAACAGCATGGATCCTGATCAGACTGCGCGGATGCGCAGGCTGGTCTGGATCCATGCTGGTCGCAAACCCATTATGTTGGTTTTGTTGTGACGCGGCTCAATTATTTTTGGTTCCAGCAGGTAAAGGAGACAATATCCTCATAATCTATTATTATCTATTATCATTTTTTTCTATCATCAAGTTGAGCTAAATTAACAATACATTTCAAAGGATAGACTGTTCTTATGGTGTTTAATTCTTAACAGTTGATATTGGAAAATGTTTCGCGTAAAATAAAAATCTGCTTAAAGTATAAAAAAAACTGCCCCACTTGTTTAATAAATTGAATGTTAGGGGTAATGTCCAATGGATATTTATAGAAGATACATTTGACCACATAAGTTATGTGAAGTAAATTATAAAATTGAAAGGAATTATGACTAAATGTAAACTTATTTTGTCTTTCACCTGTTCACACACTATATACCCTTGGATGGGCATAATGACACTTAAATACTTTATTAATACAAAATAATGATAAACTGAAGGGTTTTTTATTATTATATATATATATTGTTAAAAGTCTCAATAACTCATTAATTAAAATCTTGAATAAAATCTTTTCCTTGATTAAAGAATAGATAAAATTGTACTTACTTCCAGTCATAAACAGTATCAAATGTAAAGGTTTTCTTTGGATCCGATGGTGGCAATTTAGGATTTCTAATCTCAATAACACCTCTTTTTGTGTTCATCTCCACTACCCTATATAAGATACAAAATGTTATGAAAGATTGTAGGACAAAAGCCCTCCCGGACAAAAACCCTCCCATGAAAATGGCAGGGCGGGCAAAAGCCCTCCAGTGAAAATGGCTTTTGTCTGACCTGTCATTTTTCGTATTGCCAAGGTTGTCCCACAGTCAGTATCGACAAGTGAAATGTTTCAAGAATTTACTATATAAATATGATATGGATATGTTAAGAAAAAAAACCAGACAAGTCTTGATTTTTTTTATTCAAATTCTAAATTTACGAAACATCACGGATTTATATTACAAGGATCGGACACTTTCGTTTTAGCTTAAAGTCTCGTCGCGCGCATGCGCGGAATCGCACATCGGATAAAGGTGGACAGAATGAGAGATGGCGGAACGCGCGGAGTGCGAAATATGACAGATTTTCACAAGAGTGTGTGGTGTTATTGCAGCTTTGTGAACATTTTTACACATATTAATGTATTGATACAGTATTATTTTGTGTCGCTAAAGTATTAATATATGAAAATATGCCGATAGAACGCTGTAACGCTGAGTTAAAAAAGTACCTAATTTAAAAAATATTCGCCCATTGTTAAGGCATACTCTCTACACTTTGACGCCCTTTTACTTCAAGCACAAATTATTACCGCGATTCAGATTAAGATAATTATTTTCTACATGGTTTAATGGTTGCAATGCAAAAAAATGTTTCTTGATTGTTTAAAAACTTTTAAAGAAATTCACGTTTGAAATTTGTCTTTTTTCTGTGAATTATTTCAAAATGATTTGAACATTTTTTATTTGATTACCTGAATATTAGTATAAATATAGTATTCTACTAATAAGTGTATTAAATATATTTTCATATCATTGAAAAAAAAGCGTTCATACATAGATGAATTATTATATTGGCAAGGAAGAAACTTTTATTGGCATACAGAACAGCTGTTTTATAATATTATTTTTTATGTTTAAACAGATTTTTTTCATAGTTATCCTTCACAATTCACGTCAAATGATTTATTTGTCATACGTTTATTTTCATCATTTTTCAACGAAAGGACTATATAGAGGATATTCAAGTTTTTTCTTTAAATACATGATTTATTTTCATCGAGTGGTATAAAAATAAATATTTCATGAGTGGCGGTAGCCACGAGTGAAATATGGTAATTTTCATGCCACAAGATGAAAATAAATCATGTATTTATAGAAAAAACTTGAATTTTCTGTTTATTATGTACATTTTTCTCTTTTTTGCGATAAAATTTGAAAAAACTTTCCCTTAAATTTTGTGTACTGGCAGAATTTAAAAGAAAGTAGTCCGGCAAGACACCAGTGAAAATACGGAAAATATGTTTCACTGCAGTGAAAAATAAATTTTTACAGTGAAAATACGGAAAATGAAAATACGCATTTTATTTTATCAATATTTCATTTACAAGTATATAATAAACAAATTTACTTGTATATATTCAATATATTCAATTTCATTTATAAATGTTAATAAAGAAAATAGATTTACATTGTATTTATATATATCCTCTTCAGAATCATTTTCTTATCACACATACCATGGATTGAAGTTAAAGACCGCACGTATACAAAATATACATTCAAATTCTATTTGTTTTTGACGATTGAGTGTTGCAATTATCACATGTAACCTGGTAATGAAAGTTTGAAAATAAAGTTTTTCAATTATCACTTGTTACCTGTTAATTAACCCCCTTCAAAAGTAATTAAACTTCAAAGAAATTTAAGCGATGTGTAAAAAATAATCAAAAGTTACTTTTATTTCGCATAATACTGACTCAAACTGTAAATACTTTATTGTTTTTCTAGCGTTACATTAAAAAATATCATAAATATCTTTCTACAGGCATTCAAATAAAAAGAATAATTAAAATATACGAGTGACATTGTAAAGCGCCCGCAATACATTACCCGTAAAACAATTGTGCGTTAATAAATTTGACTACATAACCCAATAAATCTTAAATATTGCATCTTTGATCATCTGTGAATAACTAACAACGGCTTCTTTTTTATTTTGAAATTGAATTTATTATGTTACCATAATAATAAATTTCAAATACCTGCTTTTTATATAAAAAAAATGTAAATTTACCGCGGATTTCGTCAAGTTAATTTTTTAATCGTCGTTGCGGACAGATAAACTGTACCTTTAAAAAATAAATTAGATATTTGAATTAAACAAGTATTTTTCTTCAAAATAAACTTTAAATTTCCAAAATCGGATAATAAATGGAAAAGCTATATGGTATTTTGTAAAGTAGGTATCCGTTGCGAACGGGCATTTACGCTTAGCGCCGGTAAATTATCGATCGATGTACCTTTATCGGGTGCACGACAAGATATTTAAGCATTTATATAGGGTTAACTGGGAGTGTCCGATCCCTGTAATATAAATCCGTGGAAACATATATGAGTCGCGTCACGACAAAACCAACATAATGGGTTTGCGACCAGCATGGATCCAGATCCAGATCAGGATCCATGCTGTTCGCTTACAAACCCTATAACAAGTAGAGAAACTGATAGCGAACAGCATGGATCCTGATCAGACTGCGCGTATGCTCACTCAGGCTGGTCTAGATCCATTCTGGTCGCAAACCCATTATGTTGGTTTTGTCGTGACACGGCTCATACATCATCCATTATCTACCTTTCGTATCCTTTCTGTACTTCTTTCTCTGATAGAGGACGACATCTACA